TCGTAGATAAAATTTTGTATTAAAAAAAGTTATATTATTTACAAAAAATAAAAATAAACATAATAGTTCTGACAAAATTGTTGCACTTTAACATTGAACGAATTAAATTTAACCAATAAATAACAAGTAGGATTATACGGTATCAATTCATTATTAGTTAAATAATCAATAATATTCAAAATTCCCGAAACAGGTCGATTTTTTATTATAGTTTACTATTTTTTCAAATTAAAATCTAATATACAGGGTGAACCACCTTCGTGTGATGACGTCATCACCATTTTTTTTTTTAATGGGGGTTTCATTTTCCGGATTTCCTTGCTGAGCTGATTCCAAAAACACGTTGCTTCAAATTAGTACAGGGTGGTCAAAAATACAAAAAAAATAAAATTGTTCATGGAAAGTTATATGTTACTGAATGTAATAAACAAATTAAATGGAATTACGTAGTTATGCAATTACTGTGATACACTACCAAAAACAAACAAACGAAAATTTACAATAAATGTTCAAATTGTTCTCCATTGATCGTTAGACAGACTGAACCAGGCATTACTTTCGTCTCTAACATTGTATAGCATAGTGGATGTTATGTTCTGTATTTCTTGTCTAATTCGGTCTCGTAGTTGACGGATATTTCCAGGTCTGTTTGTGTAGACTTTAAAATAACCCCAAAAAAAAGTCTAATGGGCTCAGATCAGGTGATCTAGCGGGCCATTCCACTGGTCCCCTTCTTCCTATCCACCGTTGTGGAAAAGTTCTGTTTAAAAAATCGCGCACAGTTACTGCGAAATGTGGCGGTGCGCCATCCTGTTGAAACCTGATTCTGCGGTCTAAATTAGTGGGTATTTGAATATTAAGCAAAAGCTGGATTAGATCAGGAATTAATGTATTTTGTAGCAAATCCAGATATAATGCTCCTGTTAAATTTTTATCAAAAAAATATGGGCCAATAATTGTATTTCTCACAATACCAGCCCATACGTTGGTTTTTGTGGTCTTTGCGTTTGGTACTCTTGTATCCAGTGTAGATTTTCATCAGACCAATAACGGGGGTTTTGCCCATAGAAAAATAAAAAGAGAAGGTTTGAATAAATGGCGGGACTTGTTTCCTTGTTGGTAGTTGAACCGTAAGCGCTTAGCGCGCTGCTATCACTAAATTCAAACCCGTTTTACACCCATAAAAAAATATGTTTTCAAAAATAATGACAAAGAAATCAATAATTTTACTGATTTACCCCTTTAAATTTCACTTTAATATAATATGTGATCAAATACAGGGATAATCGTTAATAAATTTAAAGTTAAAGCTAAATTTAAATATTATTAGATGGTGTAAATCTGGCTTTGAAAATAAATTAGGTTATGTTGCTATAAATATGTCAGCCTGATATTATTTTCATTTTCAAATGCAGATGATATTTTTTTCAAATTCAGGTGAGTAAATTGTATTAAGTGTAAGTTAGATTTAACTAATTTAATTATAGGGAGGTTCTTAAGAAAATCATTAACTTCTGATTCATTTAAATTTTAATTGCAGAAGTATTTTTCTCACAAAACTAACAAGAAATTTTATGTTTTTCCTGCTATTATTACTCTAGAGATAAATGGATCCACATTTTAAACATTTGTGGTCAAAAAAATGAAAGGAGTTATGAGCAAAATGTGTAAAGCCAATTTACAAACAAATTTAATATTGTAGAACCCGAGATAGAACCTCATCCTAGTTTTACTCATAAAGACCATGATGAAAAAAGGCGAATGATTTGTGCTTAAAAAGTTATTGTTCAATTTTTGGGTGATATTCATTATTATATTTATCAAATAATACCCAAATATGTTCAAAATCTTATATGCTTTAGGTCAACATGTTAATTTTTGCATAGTTCACCCATTAAGATCATAAATCAGATGTTTTCTATTTTTATTGAAATTTTTATACCTTTTATTGCAAGAAAAATGTAAAAATTTAAAAAAGTTATGACTCCTGTTAATTTTTAATTTTAAGATACACACTGCACCTTTATTTTTGTTTTGTTTTAGATATTCCTCGGTATGGAGATTTTTGGAATGTACATAAATGTGTTTCTTAATTAGGGTGAGTTTCAAAGCCCACCTGTATTGAAGCTGGAGGCTTATTGTACCCGAAATAGGCATTACAACTATTCTAGATTGAAATAGATGGGAAAAGGCCTTAAAGGGACAATAAGTATAAGAATATTAGAATTAGAATGATTTGTCCTTGGATTAATAAGGGATATTTAAAACATTAAAACAATTGTGTTTATAAATTAACTACTTTGACTTTTTATAAAAACTATATTCGGTTTTTTAATAATAAATGTCATGTGGCTATGCTGGTTATCATATTATATTTTTATTTTTCAGTAATTTAGTGTGTGATATAGTGCTTATTATGTTCAAAATATGCAGTTAGAAGATAATGAAACACATGAAATTACATGGTAATTCTAAATAAATTAAACTTGTTAAAAATGTGTTTTATTTTTCAACTAATTTTATTTTTCAGTTAAAACAAGTGACATTTTCCTTTTTTCAACATTTACCTACAACAAAAATTCACTAAACTTATTGTTTGTTTAGTAGTTGTAAGTAAAAGTTGTCAAATAGGAAAATGTTACTTCAACCGTAAGCGCTTAGCGCGCTACTGTCGAGGTCAAGCAAACTTGTTACCAACTATTTACATGGAATCCGACCCCCGTGGTTTTGCCGGTTAACATGACCGTTCAAATAAAACGTTACCTCTTCCGAAAATAAAACGTTATTAATGAAATTGTTATTTTGGTTCATCATATACTCGCAGAATTCAGTTCTTCGGTCAAAGTCGTCTTGAGCCAATTCATGGATAAGACGTACTTTATAAGGATGGTATTTTACCTTTTCAAAAAATGTTTCCAATACCAAAATCCATAGATAATCCTCGCACTGTACACTGTGGATTTTCTACTGCCAACAAAATTATGTCTTGTTGAATATGTTCTAATTTTTGGTCTACCTTTCTTTGCTGCATCCCTCACATGTCCCAATTCTCTGTATATTTGCTCTATTCTGCTTACCGTAGATTGTGAAATATGTTAACGATGTGGTTCATTTCATGGAATAATCGGAATACCTCTTATTGAGTCCGCATCTTATCGCCAATACCAATCATCATTAATATTTCAATCCTATCACTATCCTATCACTTTCGGTTAAAGGCATTTTGTAAAAAAAGTTGCAAATGATAAATTGCTTGGATAGTTTTCACGTAAACGTACGTTCTGTAACGAAAGTCTAATTTATTTATAGTTTATTTATTTAAAACATACTATTTACACTTTATTTCAGACGTACTATTTAATTTATATAATACTTAGACATTAACTAACAATTCTAATTTATTTATTACACTTTAACTTTTCATTACAATGCTCTAAACTAAACTGTGCGCCGATACGTCGGTTATTTATATTGGTCCAACTCTGCTACTAGAAGACACCAGAGGCTCTCGAACATACCATTTCTATGACTAAACGGCACTCTCCGCCCATTCTAGCCGTTTCTAGTGCGTCAGCGGCAGGCATTCTTGAACGTTTCGTCGTCTCGAGCACGAGCCGGTTGCCATCTGAAGGTCGCGCGTACACAGGGTAGGCTTTAGGAATTTCATGACAGTTCTCTAAAGCGTTAACAATACAGAATTGAAGGGCTTATTGCAATAACATGTCAAGCGACAACATTAATTTATTGAGAACACACGTCTTCAAAGGTTAAAATAAACTTCTTAAACTACTACAAGTATGTTAAAATGCAATAACTTGATTTTTCGCCTAATGATGGTATTTGCTGGAGAATTTCCATTTGGTTTATGGCTTTTGTAACCTTATTTTTTAATATCGTAAAGTAAATATTCATTTATTTTTATTAGGTTAGTCACGTTTTTACAATAAGCCCTTCAATTTTACTTTAATGTTTCTGACAGTTTTTAACGTTAAATGAAAAAAATGGTAAAAAATACTGCCAAACAATAAACATATTTTTATGGTTCAGGGGCTTGGATCACTAATAAAAGCTGTTAGATACAATGTTAAAAATAATGCAGGATGTTTTTAATAGTTTATTAAAGTAGTTGTATAACAATACGTAATTTCATTTAATGTGTTTATTACGTTTATTCTTTATTTATTATTTCATAAATTTTTGCATTTTTGCCCACCCTGTACCAATTTGAAGCAACGTATTATACATTTTTGGAATCAGCTCGGCAAGGCAATCCGCAAATTGAAAAAAAAAGGTTACATTTAAAAAAATGGTGATGACATAACACGAAGGTGATTCACCCTGTATATTAGGTTAAATTTTGAAAAAATAGTAAATTAAAATCCAAAATCGACCTGTTTCGGGAATTTCTAATATTATTGTTTATTTAGCTAATAATGAATTTATGCGTTACTTTATCTCGTTGCATTAAAAGTAACACTTTAATACCAAAAATAAAAAGTTCAAGAATTATTTTTACAAGTCACTGTCTTCACTATAACTACTGGTATCATTTGTCCCTTCTGAGTTTTATTATTATAGGGTCTATTTCATGTTTGTGTAGGAGTAAATTGAAAAATCTAGGAAATGGAATATTCTACAGAGATCAACCAAGAGTCCCTTTTTTGTGACAAATTGCATGAGGAATATTTATAAAAGTTTGGATTAAAATTGTTCTCTTAACCCTTGATTGTACGCCAATGGGTTATCGTAATTTATCGAAATAAAGTGTGTTAACTAATAATGACGATTAACTAACCTATACATATTTTTATTTTAAAGTATTTATCGTAAGGGAAGATATTTAGAAAAATATGTATCTATCATCCTGTAGAATGAAAACTGTGACGTACACAGGAAAATTATATTTCGCTTTTCTTAATAAATAGTTAAGTCCTACAAGTCCCCCGTTTACGGTACTTTATTCTGAAACACCCTGTATATATTTTACCAGAAATATTTACCTTGTCTTTCTTAATTTTGACACTTTAGAAGTATCAGGTTTCTTAGAGCCATCATTACTATTATTAGAGTCGAAAGAATTATCTCTGAAAAAAATAAATATATAAATTGTATCGAAGATATTTAAAATTTTAATCACCATTTTTTTAAATAAATATTGAATTAAACAATTACTGTATGGTATTTACCTTGTCAATTTAGGTTTAGGTTTACAAGCTGGTGCTTTGGAAGAATTATTGCGAGGTGTTGATGTAAAGGGCGGTTTCAATTTTGGTTCCTGAAATAAATTTGATGTAGAAAATAAACTTGTTTTATTAAAATAAAATACTATATATCCTGAAGGTGTATATCCACCAAGTCGCAAAATGCTTAAAGTTTGTAAAATTTGATGGAAAACATTTTGAAGAATTAATAAAAATTTTACATAATTTTGTAATATCTGTATTTTGTTTTGGTACTTTTAATAACAATAGGTTTGTTCCAACAGCTAATCTGATCTTCAGAAGCGTGCACATTGAAAATAGTCCGTTCCTACAAAGCCACGGATAATCCGATGAACTGTCTGTAAAACGTTCCAACGTATTTTCTGATTCGTACATGAATGAGTCGGCGGATTGTCAAAACGATCAGAGCTTCATCGCTTGTACAATTTATCAGCACATGCGCATTTGAACGTCTCTTCTCGTTCGTGCTATTTGTTTGTAATTGTTGAGATTTTAAGTCAGCTTGGAGTGGCTTGGCTTTCTATTTATTTCAATAGAAATGAATAAATTTTGTCTTTATCTTGTGTACAGTTTTTCTATGTAAAATACGTACTTATTTTTAATAAAAATAAACATCTTAAGGTTTCAAAATTATACATTGACATAGATCGTTCGAGATAGTTAAATAAATGTATTTTGTTGAATTTTAAATAATATTTAAAATACCTATTCACAAACATGTGTTTGGTTTGTCCAATTCAATTGCATTTTGCGTTCCAACAAGTACAAGTCCCTGATCAAACAACGGACGAATAAACGGAATGACATGAGCAGTGATTAGTTTACGAATGCATCCATGTACGAATCAGAGACGCATCAGAAAGGGGCTGTTGGAACAAACCTAATAATAATTACTACCGGAATCGGAAAAGTAGACAGAACCTGTCACAGGGTGTAAATAATAGTAGTAGTTAGGATATGGTCCGATATTAACCGACTACTAACCGCAAGTAACCAGGATTTTTTGACGGGGTTTCCTGAAAAAAATTAATTTCTTGGTTACATTTGAATAAAGGCCGAGATTTACGTCACTTTTGTGACAGATGAACATTCGACTTAATAGTAACCGTAAAAATATAACGGTTAGTGAACTGACGTTTGAGTCCTCCGAGCAATTACTACTAGAGGGAGTCTTCCCCCCTTCCCCGCGCTAAATTTTGTTAGCAACATCTACTCCCCCCGAGGGGGAAAATACCTCTTCTGTAATTGGCTTATTTAATCAGCGTTGCCAAGTTTGACAGCGCCAGTTCCGACACTTTCTGACACATGTCAATTTCTTATTTGTATTTTACGGAAAATATTATTATTTATAACGTTGTAAGGGTTGTAAATGTATATTTAAGATTTATTATCTCTAATAATATGGTGAAAACATGCTTTATGTGTAGAAGGCCTGTTGAAAATGCTTCTTCAAGATAATATCATAAGTAAGTACAGACACAACCTAATCCCTACTACTCACATATGGCTACCCTCACTCCCAATCACCTTTAATTTGCAATTAAACTTTTTTATTTTCTTATCGAAAAATTAAAATTAAGAGCAACTAAGTTCGTCTTCATCTATCTCATAATGATTATAGTAAAGGTTAATTACTTATTATTATTTTAATATCACATCTTTGTAAAGATTATTGTTATTTTTTTAGGTTTCCTTTTCTTGATATGAGAAAGAAATACATGGTTCCAAAATATAGGAATTCAACAAGTGACCACCTGAATAACTTTATGTTAGTGAACATTTTTATAACAGACCTCAGGGGAGGAAAATATTAAAAAAAAATGCAATTTCGACGAAAGAAGTATAATAATCAATCATGTCACTACTTCTATACTATATTCATCTGCTACTAAAATACTAAAACAGCAAGAAAGTAGAGAAACTTAAGTTTCTTTCAAAAAGAATGTTTAAGGGAAAAGGCATAGCCATTTTTTTGTTGACACTTTTTTTTAACTAATCTAAAAGACTAATTTTGTGTATTGTTTAAACTTTCATTTTTTGTACTCAATTTGTTTTAGGTTTAAACAAAATGAACTTCTAAGATATGCATGGAATATCCCAAAAGAGCTAAGGAAGGTTTTAAAATTCTTAAGAAAACTATTCAGAGCCAAAAACATAAAATAGTCTTCCTGTCCAAAATATAAATAGGTATAAATATTTAGATATTATGAGTGATTTTTTATTCTATAAATAGAACATAATTTGCTTCTAAATCACTACCTAATGAACTATATTATATAGTACAAAACTAAACAAGAATATCACATTATTCATGTTTTTTTAATTTCCTTAAAAAACGTCCCAAAAAAATGTGAATATTTATTATTGGAGTTTACATCGTTATGCTAAAACAATACTAGAACAACTTAAATAATGTGAATTTTGACTATTTTGAGTTATGCAGATCATTATTATCTAAAAAAATGTTTGTCTGGTGCTATATTCAGGTATAAAAACATTAATTTATTTAAACACAGTTGCTATATACACTTTATTTAGTTTTTAAGTTAAAACCTATTAGGACATCCTATAATGACTATTTTCGTTTGATGTGAGATTAATAATTATTCTACATTATTGTTGGTGAAATAGGATATATTAAGATGTGTTACTGTTTTCTCTGATTATCTAAAAAGTTAGAACAATATACAAAGACTGCTATAACAAAAAAGAGATATACCTTTACTTAAACACACAATTAGTCAGTTCAATTGTACGATAATTTAAAGCAGAAATCCAGAAAACTTTAAAAATGTGTTTAAATGTGTTATTACTATAACAAGGACATGGTGGTGTAGCGGTCTATCGCGCTTATATTCATTTATAGGCAAGTTTATGAGTCTGAGACTGCTGGGTTTCGAATCCCAGACCAGACCATGTGGATTTTTAATTAAATTGCATGGTTCGGTTTAGGATTTGATGTGTGGCGTATTAATAGAAATTCAATTTCTGTTGATATGACATGCAGATTAAAAAAATTCGCCATACATTACCGTCTCGATGATGGTGGGTGAGGTTTTCCGGGTTTTCCTCACCTGTAAGTCAAATGGCACCATCAATCATCTTTAAGTCGCCCCGGAGCGCCACGGCAAATAATAATAATAGCCGTCCCTTTCCCCGGACAAGCTCAGCTTTTGGGGTTAAAATTCACTCGTAAGGGGGTGAATTAGGGAGAGTATTATTATTATTATTATTATTATTATTATTATTATTATTATTATTATAATTATTAAAAAACTTGGCACATTAACATTGACGATAGGTTTTTATAATATATATTATACAAATCACAACGAACTACACAAAATGACATTATTAGTAATTTAGCAATAAAAAAGTTAAGTACAATGATGACATTTCAAGTTGAGTTTCTCGAAATACTTTTTTTAAATTGTCTCAGTACCTACCTAGTATTTTTCTAGCACAATGATATTATATGAATGTGCATTGTGTGATATCTTATATTTTAGGAATAAAATGATATATTTTTTGCAGGTTTCTGTTAACAACGATTCCAAGAACTTTTGAAAATATTATTAAAACGGCCTTTGCAAATATAATTCTCAATTAAGAGCTTTTGATCTAACATTAAATTTTTATTCTCCATAAGGTTACAGCTTCCTAAGAAGAAAGTTTAACAAGACTTACCAGACCCAAAATATCAAAATTTTACCAACCAATTGATGGTTCTACTGGTTTCCATAGGAAAATTTTCCTCGAAACTACTAAAAGAAAAGTGGCAGAGGCAACCGAAGAAGGCAAAAAAGTCTTTTGCAAAACAAAAACTAGAAATTTGTTTAAGAATCTATTTATTGTTTGAAGTTTTACCATTAATAATTTTTGATAACGATTTAAGATTATGAAGTTCTATTATGTATTTTACTCTTTGATAACCTATTTAATTTTTATTAGGACCAAAATAAATTATAATTTTTATTTCAACTACAAAAACCCTCATAATATTAAAAAGGGGGAAAACATTAGATTAGTTATGTTCAGGAATAAACTCTTTAAACATTTATCTACTTAAAATGTGTTACTTTTAAAAGGTATGTTATTAACTTTCTATTTGTACTTGTATTAATTTATTTCATTTTATTATCTGTTGTATTTTCAAATTGATTTTGATATTAATCTTATCTATTTATATATTTTTTATATTCACATATATGTTTTATTCATTGAAACAAACGTTTATTAGCTTATTAAATATAATGAATTCATGTTGTTTTATTATATGCTTGTATGAATTACTTTTATTTCCTTTTAAAATTGAATTTCGAAGATAAAGCCGAAACGGTGAGTGAGAATAAAAAATTAGACGAAAGTGACGATATTTACTGGAGCTTTCATCTACACGCTCCTTTTTCTAGCCATCTACACCTGAGCCAGCAAGATTCGTCTTCCCTCCATCCTTACATTCTCCAGATTTACAGAGAAAATGCCGTCCTCTTTAACATATCCAGACCTTCTTTGACGGGGACTATACCACTACATTATCAGCTTTATTTGTTATCCCGAGCAATTTAAATGCATTCGTAATTGCTCATTCTCACCTCTTCTCTTGTAGATTCCGTACTCAGTTTTCTTATTTTTAGTTACGTTTTTTAGTTTTTTTTTTTACAATTAAAACGTTTGGACAATGTGTGTTTTTATAGATAAATGATACGCCACTGAACAAGAAGGATGTTTACCTTCCCCCTTGTGCCCGCTTCCTCACTTCCTCAAGAGATGTTGCTAACACAACAATCGCCTACAAACTCGTTTTCACGCTCCCTCTATTAGTAATTGCTCGGAGTTTGAGTCACCATTTTCAGGTAACCGTGTCCCTAATTTAATCGATTTTTCAGGAATGTCAAGCAGAGCGAGTAACCGATATTTCGGTTAATAACGGACCATACCCTTACCGTTGTATGAAGATATTCTAGTAGGATAACCTTATGGAAAGATCATTGGAGGACGATAGACATAGAATGTAGATGGCGATACTGTATTTATATCCAAGTCAGATCTT